ATCAGACTTGGGGACAAATCAACACCTTCTGAAAGGTTAAATCACCACCGCGTGGTTCCTTTGGTAGTATTCTTACAATTCACGCCTCGTGCAGTGGGTTGATCGGATTCATAAAGGCATAACTCTACCTAAATATGTTTCGTTGTATGTGTTCAACAAACATCAGAGTACAAAGGATCTAATCCAAATGACCATTCCAATATATTCCAATGATGTCCTCCGCCATATGCATATTATTCATGACGGTTGCCCTAACGCCACTCTCAGCAGGAGATGGGATTAACATGGTTTACATGTGTTGACAATGACATTAAGAATTCATGTTTCATGGACATCGTTCCTTTTTTGTTAAAAATCGCTCATTGTTTGTGTTTATTTATTTTCCCCCGTGAGTCATTGATGCAACGGGGCGTCTTTCCTCTTGTGTATATGCTGTTTCTTATTCTAACATCGGAAGTGCAGATTTTCGCTATTATTTGAACACAGTTGTCTCCCCTATTTGCCCTGATTATGATCCTAGTTTTCCGCAACGTATCGTACACTTGGATTTCCCTAAAAGTGTAAACCTACAGGACCTGCAGATCGTATGAAAACTGAATATTTTTTATATAACTCATAAAAATATTTGAACAGGAATAGACCTTTTCACATTTCATTTTAAAAAGTCAGTATACCCGTTGTTTTGTTAGTTTGTTTTCCCATTTGGCAAGTAGATACGATGCAAGTTAGGTAATAAAAGGCCTCGAATTTCCATTCGTGCCTTTATATAGCTACTGCCAACATTCACTGTCACATAACTTCAATATGTGTTAGTATTTGTCAACAACAAGTAGAGGTAACACAAGTTCACACTCCTAGCATTCGACATTTTAGGTGCGTTTCAGTAATTTGCTGCCACTACTTATCACTACACATTAAACTTAAACATCTGCTGTGATAAAACACAGATTAAAGTAAAGGACTCTCCACATAATGATAACGAACTTATCGCAATAGCTGGGCAGGTTCCCGGTTGTATTTACGTTGCGTCATCTTTATAATGATTGGAGTCGGACTTTTTTCTGGGTCATCACATTTTAGTATTATGGTAGCTCGGTCCTAATTCTTTTAACACCTAATAGTTCGCAACTGTGTGTAAAATACTATTCAAAGGAAATTAAATAAGACCCGTATTTTTCATCTGACTGTGGTTAATCTGTCATACCCGATATATTCGTGTGACTAAAGCTTACGACAGATTATATAGGATACAAGTCGGACGAAAGAGTACTTAAGAGGTGGAAACCATGTACTTTTGAGGATAAACGAGATCCCAAACACTCAGGTTTAAATGCATACGTTATCTGGTACAGACGTTGGGCGATGTCTTTAGCGGAAAGACACAATCGTGTGATGAAATGCCACGATGTGACGCTGGGATTGGGTTGTCAGGAAATATAGCTCGGATATCTTCCGTGTCGTGACTGGAATACTGTCTAGTGACTTACAAGCGCGCTTCGGCACTACTTCAGTAACGTGCTTGTAACTGGTGTTAATGTGAAGCACATCATGTTTCCCCCATAAGCGCTGGAATTCCTGAAACACCAGGTCTGAGTGAAATTGGAAGAATAGACAGGCTGTCCAATCAATCCAAGCTCTGCATTTCTATTGTCATGTCCGACAAATCATCGCATCAGAGTTTCTCTTGGAGGAAATAACCGTCTCGGTGTGGTCTAGTGGATAGAGCGTCTGTCCGTTAGAGAGAGGTCGGTGGTTCGATCCCCGGTCGCGTCACACCAAAAGTCATGTAAACGTGGTACTTGTTGGCCAGGACTTACAGCATTATACAGTTTGATCTAGTTAAATCAGCTTTCAGTCATTCAGATTTAGTCACATTTAGAATCAAATTAGTAGAAATGTTTCTTTAAATAAGGTTGCTTCAGGTGACTTGTAAGTGGCATAATTATGCTCACGCATACAAAAATCGCTCTACAGTTAACTTGAACCAGACTTTAAACCCATTTCACCTCATCTTTTTGAGTGAGTTGAGTTTTAAGCCGCTTTTAGCAATATTCCCGCAATATCACGGCGGGGGAAACCAGAAATGGGCTTCACACATTGTACCCATGTGGGGAATCGAACCCGGGCCTCCGGCATAACGAGCGCACGCTTTAACCACCAGGCTACCCCACCACCCTTTCACTTCAGGAAATATTACCTTATACATTATATATTACCTTACTCTCACCTATGGATTCTACGTATCTTTCTCACCCAACATTTTTTCCGTCAAGGAACCTAAGTCATAGTTTCCAACAGAATCAGAATCCCGTTCATTATGAATGAGTTACTGAACTTGTGACCTTTAACGACAGTCTGTTTAGTGTCAGAATGCATCGTGACTTGTAGTCCCAAGCGGTTGAAGGTAAGACCACTAAGCTACGCAATGTGAATACTGATCTTCATTTGAACTGCACCCGTGAAGGTCCGGGTTAGAATATTGATCTTCAGTAACCCATGCTTGTCGTAAGAGGCTACTAACGGGATCGGGTGTCCAGGTTTGCTGACTTGGTTGACACATGTCATCGGGTTCCCAATTGCGCAGATCGATGCTCATGCTGTTGCTTACTGGATTGTCTGGTCCAGACTCGATTATTTACAGACCTCCGTCATATAGCTGTTATATTGCTAAGTGTGGCGTAAAACTAAACTCACTCACTCATTTGAACTGGGAATTGCTCGGATCTCAATATTCTCATCCGTTTTGAATACAATGCACGTTGTGTGAAGCACTCGTAAAATAATTAGTCCGTTTCTACGAACAACATGAAGCGTCACAAAGTTTAATGTAATTAATGACATCATTGGTGTGTTTTCCCGACATGGTACAGTCAGCGGAAGAAATGGTTTTCTTTGTATTCAAATACAAATGGTCAGATAGGTGCTACTTTCAGTGTTCAGGTCAAAACAAACCTTTGTGGCTCTTTTCAACACTCATCATTATTTCAGCAAAATGACAGCAGCCTGTGACTAATCGAGTCTGGACCAGCCAGGCCAATGACTGACATCATTCGCAGCGATCTACGCCATGGGGACACGATGACATGCTTCAGTAAAATCCGAGCGTCTGAACACAGTTTCCAGTTATTGGCTTCTTGCGACGAGCATGGCGTTTACTGAAGATCAATTCTAACCTGGATCTAACGGGTTCAGTGAATATTGTAATGTAATGAACACAGTGGAGGGAACACTACGTTACAATACAAAATGTTACAATACACACTAAATACATCCCTGAGTTATCATGAATACTACACATATCAATACGTTACACTATACACAAGACACAACACTACGTTTTATACACTCACTGGTGACCGTTGAACGTCACACAACACACTGGACATTTACATCACCCTCTCATTATAGTCCAGCGGATAATGGTATAATTATGCATTTTCATGTTACAAGCATGAAATTTGGCAGATATGTTGATTATGCTATAAAAATAAGATACAGATAGGGAGGCATTGAATATTCAAGATGGCCGCCATTTTTCAATATGGTGTATGGATGAGTGAGTGTGTCAGGGTTTTACGCCGCTTTTAGCAGTATTCCAGCAATTTCAGGGCGGGGGACACCAGAGACGGGCTTCACACATTGTAACCATGTGGGGAATCGAACCTGGGTCTTCGGCGTAACGGGTGAACGATTTAACCACTTGCTTAGGCTACCCCACTGTCTGCATGGACAACAGAAGGTTGTTTGTTCTAGTGAGGTTGGTTTTACGCCGTTTTTAGCAATATTCCCGCAATAACACGGCGGGGGGACACCAGAAATAGGCTTCACACATTGTACCCATGTGGGGAGCGAACGCTTTAACCATTAGGCTACCCCACCGCCCCTCGTTTGTTCGATGCCTGGTGGAGTCATACCAAAAGACGTTTTAAAGAGCATGGTGTTTGTTGTTTCCCTGCGCTCCCGGTTTAAATGGGATACAACTAGATTGGAGTCAGCATATTTGTCAGATTTGGGGTAGCCTACTGATTAAAGCGTTCGCTCGTCACGCCGCAAACCCGTGTTCGATTCCCCAAATTGGTACAATGTGTGAAGCCCATTTCTGGTGTCCCCTGTAGTGATATTGCTGGAGTATTGCTAAAAGCGGCGTAAAACCAATTCACACTCACTATTTGCCAGATCTGGGGTATCTATATAAAACCGAATCATGGTATATCAGTGGGAGATGAAACCGGCTCTTTTCCGGGCTAGCACCGGCAGAGTTATTATGGACGTCAACTTCTTTATTATGAGGGGCGGTGGGTTAGCCTAATGGTTAAAGCGTTGGCTCGTCACGCCGAAGACCCGGATTCGAATCCTCACATGGGCACAATGTGTGAAGCCCATTTCTGGTGTCCCCCGCCGTGATGTTGCTGGAATATTGCTAAAAGCGGCGTAAAACCAAACTCAGTCAGTCAGTCTTTATTATGAGGAGTAAGGGTATTCTCCGAAACGTTAATTGTGTTCCTCATAATATAGAAGTTGACATCCATAATAACTCTCTTCGTATGTGTATCACTTCTAAATGCCATTCAAAGACCTAGTACCAGCAGTTTAATAATTCTAAACGCGAAGGTAAACAACATACCTCCTCGCAACCTTTCTTACTTGAGCAGTGATAGAGACGAACCAAGAAGTTGGTATCTGTTTTCAAACAATGTGATTGATTGCCATATACCCGTAACACCACATGGTTCTGGGAAATCCCATCCTTGAAACCCACCCGGACAATACCATTCACGCTTCAGTGGAGTAACTCAACCAGGCCCGTTCTGTTTACTAATCCTATTTACAGGGCTTTGGAGTTGACGGCAACTAAATCTGTCCCAAACCGGCCGATACGATCTGGTATCTCACGCCCAAAGCTAAGTGGCGTTAGGGTGTTATTAGGTAATGTGCACTAAGAATTTTCTACCAGCTTTCATCCCACACCGTAATGGTATCGCCCACTGCATGTCCCGCGCGTGACACTTGCAGACTGTTCGTGAGCCTCAGAACGAGGTCGTGTGTTGTTATCGCTCATACCAACCGGTCGTCTGCTATGCAGGTATTACGGCATGTCGTCTGCTACGGGAATCATAAATTATGAAGAACCGTTGCTTGTATTGATCGTGTGAGGGGCGGATTTGTCTGTGCAACTCGCAGACGGCCGGCGAGAATAGAGACAGCGTGTGGGTTTTCAGGTAAGCGAGACTGAATATGTTTCTCATATTTGACTGTACACATTACCCATAACGTTAGTCGCCATTGGGTATTCCCATGGATCAGAACGATACGCCACACATAACCATTTAAATTTATTCAGATGGTAACGTGTATGCTTGTAACGACATTGTCTGTACGTGCCACCCATTATTTCCATAGAATTTTCTTTGTTGTGAATTGGTCTAATTTGTATCAGGTGGATTATCGTTGTTTTCCTTGTCGAATGATTTCCTACTGACGGGGTGTGATTATGTTTATATACGGCCGATAATAACTTGTCTGTGTTGTCGTACGAAACGCAAGTACCCATAATATCGGTTTCAGTCAGCAAAGCCACATGCTTTGAAGAACGCTTCGCAGATAACATATGTTCGATGGGCAGATTAAAACAGCCTTAACACACACAAGGAGTTACGTCTTCAACATTCCATGTGCCAGTTCTTGCCGTCTTAACTAAGAATATTTAACATCTTCAACGTACCATGTACCCAACTTTATTCATGTCAACTATATTTACCCAGGATTTAATGAACATTTTTTGTGTGGATATTGTCTACAACACTCAAGTTTTGAAAAAAATAATTTGAATGGCCACGCACAGCCCAAAGTAAACATATCGGTTCATCTGATATGTTGGTGATATAGATCTATAGACGACCGGTTCTGTTTCTGTCTAAATGCCGTTTAGAAATTGAAATCCTACTATTTAGCTTGAGTAACTGAGCCGAAGTGTCGGTGATATGAACCGCTCTTGATAGAAACGATAGATCGCTCATAACAAGTACATCTTGATCATAGATTAACAGCTATGAATAAGATCTGAGTCACGGAATTACTTCATAGACAACCCCCAGCTGAAGGAGTGGGCTATGAGAGCAGAACTGGTCACCCATGGTATAAGTATTGTTATCAACCTAGTACAGTGAAATAGTATTTAACGCACTCCATACTCGGACCCAACCGTGACTGGATTCAATGCGTCTTCATTTACATTTCTTTTTGGCTATCTAACAGCAAGGGGTAGCATTAAACTGTAAGTAAATATATTATCGTTCCCCTTGTTTCGCTTGAACTACAAAATCAATGAGAAATGCCACGGGCTATGGTATAAAAGAGGCTTGTCTCTTCTTGGTACCGTTACCAACTGGGCGCTGTCGGTCTGAATGAAGTGGCGAGATACCTTGACATTTGTTTACTGTCAGCTCTATAGTGTTCAGTGCACGGCAGTAATTAAGTAATGGTACGTATAAAACACTGTTTTCGTTGATAATTATTTGAAAGACCTTGGGCAGGATGACACACACCTTTTGTGTTAACTTACGTCGGGCCACTGTGAGTTTTTGTTCACATCGTCATGTCATTAATAATGGACACCATTCATCCATTTTTTATTTAGGTTTTTTTATCCACCTCTGTATTTTCCAATATGCATGTCACACAGATTCTTATCCTCAGTTATGTATTCCACATTACTTTGGTGGCGTTGGGGTAGCCTAGTGGTTAAAGCGTTCACTCGTGACGCCGAAGACCCGGGTTTGATTCCCTATATGGGTACAATGTGTGAAGACCATTTCTGGTGTCCCTCGCCGTTTTATTGGTGGACTATTGCTAAAAACGGCGTAACACCATACTCACTCACGCACCCATATTACCTGCAGATTAAAGCACCATGTAAGAGTTTTGTATGAAATGACCTCGCTGTAAAAAAGGAAGCGATATTTAAGATTTTGTTCAACATCCTCTCAATACCGGGAACTAAGTCTAAAATCCTAAGTCAATATAATTGCCCATTTAAATTCATTTGTCATATCAGTGAAGCATTGCACCTGAAATTTCGAGAGCCTATAAATCTACCTCAAGCGATATGGGGGCTAAGTCTCAATATCTCACCAGCCCCTACGGGCGATATTGTTCAATAAGTCCTAGACCATGTGGCATTTGAAAGTGTTCTGTCGAAGTCCCGAAATAATCCATGTCAGGATAAACACCTCTTCAGACTTGGTCTCGAATGTAAAAACGTGTTTAACAGTATTGTTGAAGCTGTTGTAATAGCCAAAGATTTAGGACAAGTTTAGGGGAGGGATTAAAGATGCATTTACAACTGAATAACAGGATTAATATGTTGCAAATTGTGGGAAATGTTTAGGGCTATAATGAGGCACAGACCACGACGTAGTTATTAGTTTTCTTCCATTATGGTGCCCTGGGGTAGCCTAGTGGTTAAAGCGTTCGCTCTTCAGACCGAAGACCAGGGTTCGATTCCCCACATGAGTACAATGTGTGAGACATATTTCTGGTGTCCGGTGTGATATTGCTGTAATGTTGCTAAAAGTGGCGTAAAACCAAACTCACTCACTCACTCACTCTTCCATTCTAAACAAACATAATGCCACATCGTGAATTCCACCGCAGAATACATTCCTGGAATTCATATTAATGTATATTGTTTCTCTTCTCCAGTATATATGATGGGAGACTACGATGAACACTTCGCTTACAGAGCTAGCCGTCAAAGCACGCGCTCTGGACGCGCACGCAGTCCGACAAGCCACAGTGACCATGGATCACTCATCAGACACAGTATCCTTCGAATGTCGGAGGAAAAACGCGCCAAGAAAGTGAGATTTTACAGGAATGGGGACAGGTTCTTTAAAGGCATGATATATGCCGTATCACCTGAACGATTCAGGACTTTTGAGTCCCTCATGGCAGAGTTAACCCTTAGCCCGCTGTGTGATAAGGTGGTGCTTCCTAATGGTGTCCGACATATGTTTACTATGGATGGTTCGAAGAAAATAACGAGCTTATTTGAACTCCAGGAAGGTGAGAGTTACGTCTGTGCTTCTACCGATGTCTTCAAGAATCTGGAATACACAACAAGTTCGTCCCCAAACTGGAATTATAACATCAAATCTCGCGGTGCTGACTCACAAGATGGTGGCGCTTCTGTTGCCAAGGAAACGTACGAGAATGAAAACAAAGGGTTCATTCTGAAGCCAAAGTTGGTTACAATTATACGGAACGGAAGTAAGCCACGTAAGGCTGTGAGGATATTGCTGAATAAAAAGACAGCACATTCCTTCGACCAGGTTCTCACAGACATAACAGAGGCAATCAAACTCGACAGCGGAGCCGTCAGGAAGATATTCACGCTGGACGGTCGACAGGTATGTGAATATTTCAGACAATTAACCATTATGCTTTCATGGCCCTGTTTCGGAGAGCTATCGTAGCGCTACGACTGTCGTAAGTCTATGTTACAGTACTGGGGCCCGTTTCACAAAGCAATCGTAGCGCTACGAGTGTCGTAAGTCTATGATAGTCGTAAGTTACGATGTTAATGTATGTCACAGTACGAGGACTCATCTTAAGCAATGGTAGCGCTGCGAGTGTCGTAAGTCTATGTTACAGGACGAGGTTTCACAAAGCAATCGTAACGCTACGACTGCCATAAGTGTATGTTGCAGTACGAGGGTTCACAAAGCAATCGTAGCGCTACGAGTGTCGTAAGTCTTTGTTACACTATAGGAGGTACGAGGTTTCACAAAGTAATCGCAGCGCTAAGATAATCGTAACTCCCATACTTTAACATAGACTTACGACAGTCGTAGCGCTACGATCGCACTGTGAAACGGGCCCCAGATCTTCAGGCGAGGCAACGGTGGCAAGAGGTCTAGGTTCTTCTGATCCAATCCCAGGCTCATCACGTGTGTGTTGATTTTGACTGCACCATACCGTTGCTCTTTGAACTTACCACAGTGCCAAACATCAGCTGACCAAATTTGAACAGTTCCACGCCTGTAAGAATTAGTGGCAATACATTCCTACACATCTTGTTCAGAATTTGAGGTTATGATTGTGAAGTTCGTTGCTCCGAAGCAAATGTGTTGTCTTTTCAGGAAAACTGTAATTGAAACTCTAATCCTGACATATATACATAGCCATATTGGTTCCGATTGCTTGGATTCGATTGGAAAGACAAGAAACTGTGATTTTTTCGTAGATCTTAAAAGAGTTAATGGATACTTTTGCTCTGTAAATGACAGTCTATACAATTGTTGAGATTGGCATCAAGATAATGAAGCTTGGGAAAGCTAGAACCATTGAATGGCACGCACATCTAAAGGATATTAACCCGCAGATCGTACACTACTTACAGAATAAGTGGTTCTCAAACTGTACATCCATATTCCAAGCACTATTCTTCAGCTCTTTGCATGCGGCACGCTGTGACGCGAGAAGATAGTGCGTTTCTCACAGGAGAACAAGGGCAATTGTGCGTGTTTGCAGTTCTGGTTTATTGATGAAAACATATCGTATTATCCAAACAGCAATAACCTTCATTAAAGATATATCAATGGTCATTTGGGAATTCAACTTTCCTTGAATCTTAACCAGCAAAACAAATGCTTTACCGACTGGCCGCTTTGCCACAGATTGTGCTATCCTTCAAAGTAAATCAAACGTATGTCTTGTAACCCAAGAGGGGTACAATGTGTACTTGAGTCTAATAAAGCTTTGATTAGGAATCAAATAATTGGGATGTTACCGTAATTTGAAACAGATTTCGTTTAACCAGAAATCTATAGGATATGATATGGTCTATAAAAGAGCGGAATGGTTATTGATACACCGCTTATGACAAGAATAAAGTACAAGAATAATGATTATATCCTGCTAGTAATTACGCACCTGCTATGGGCTGTGATAAACCAGGGAAAGATCCCATTGGTCATATCCAGTTACTCCGCGGTATATTTCTGGATAGTGGGTTATGTAAAATAAGTAGATTTAAGGATAAGACAACTAGTCCTTGTAATTGTCTCGGACAGACGGAAGAGCTGTCGCGCCTGACCCTGTAAACACAAGCACAAGGACATGTTTACTGAATTGATTTATTGATTTCTTTGTAAATGATACCCAGCGGATAATATTCAAAACAGGCTGACAATTACTGTTAGCAGATGTTCGATTCTCGAAGCAAATCAGCACCTCCCAGTAGTGCAAGTACCTTGCATCATGCAGATTTCATCGGAAACTGGTTTAAGTGGCATTGTGTGGTCGAAAGTCGGGTGATAAAAGAACAAGTTGTTTTAGTTTTGATTTATTGGCAGAGTTCGATGAAGGTGTTAGCAGGTGAATTCATACCACTATCCCTGAACCGATGTGTTTGTGAGTCACAAAATGTCCATAAATCTCTGTGTTAGTCACGGAATGTCCCTGAATCGATGGTGTGTCTGCGAGTCGCGCTATGTCTCTGAACCGATATGTGTTTGTGAGTCTTGGAATGTCTCTGAACTGATGCGTTTGTGAGTCCGTAATGTCCCCTATCCTGTTTATGTATATGAGTCATGGAATGTCTCTGAACTGATGTGTTTGTGAGTCTTGGATTGTCTCTGAACTGATGTGTTTGTGAGTCCGTAATGCCCACGAGCCAGTTAAAGTTTGTGAGTCATGGAATGTAGTTTTAAGTCACAGAGTTATCAAGCTGTAAGACATCGAGCCTAGATCCAGTGGTTGATGGTATGAGCATCCCGCAGTACACGGTCACGGTGACATTCAATCAGCAGGGTCACGATGACATACAATCAGCAAGGTCACGATGACACATAGTCAGCAAGGTCACGTTATGTCCGTTTCTTAATCATTAGTCTGCTGTGGCGTGATATAAATACCACCCCAGAATATCCTGGGCATGCTGTGCGTTTATATCGTCAGTGTTAGCTGCTAGATAACTGAAAAATCAATCACTGTCATTAACTTTTGATCTGTAAAGACTACGCACCGATAGTTTGAAGTTTTTATGACATTGTTTCAGAGACGATGTATAACAATTTACATGTGTGCTTGAGCAATAACAACAGATCTACGGTCATCCCACTTGAAAGTGGTATCCTAAGAAAAAATTAGGCCTAGAGGCTGTTTAATATTTCAGAAAACCATGCTGTCAAAAGTAATCTGTTTTATCGAGAAACCACCAAGAAATCTGGATACGTCATTTGGAAATGGCAATATATACATGCTTCAGTCTTAATAACTTACGTGGAACATGCTTCAGTCTTAATAACTTACGTGGAACATGCTTCAGTCGTAATAACCTACGTGGAACAGGCTTCAGTCGTAATAACTTACGTGGAACAGGCTTCAGTCGTAATAACTTACGTTGAACAGACTCCGTAATAACTTACGTGGAACAGACTTCAGAAATCGTGGAACTTAATAACTTACGTGGAGCAGGCATTAATTAGTAATAACTTACGTGGAACATGTTTCAGTCGTATTAACTTACGTGGAACAGGCTTCAGTCGTAATAAGTTACGTGGAACAGGCTTCAGTCGTAATAAGTTACGTGGAACAGACTTCAGCCGTAATTACTTACGTGGAACAGGCTTTAATTTTAATAACGTACGTGGAACAGGCGTTAATTAGTCATAACTTACGTGGAACAGACTTCATCCGTAATTACTTACGTGGAACAGGCTTTAATCTTAATAACTTATGTGGATCAGTCATTAATTAGTCATAACTTACGTGGATCAGGCGTTAATTAGTCATAACTTACGTGGAACAGGCTTCAGTCGTAATAACTTACGTGGAACAGACTTCAGCCGTAATTACTTACGTGGAACAGGCTTTAATCTTAATAACTTACGTGGATCAGGCATTAATTAGTCATAACTTACGTGGATCAGGCGTTAATTAGTCATAACTTACGTGGAACAGACTTCATCCGTAATTACTTACGTGGAACAGGCTTTAATCTTAATAACTTACGTGGATCAGGCATTGATTAGTCATAACTTACGTGGAACAGGCTTCAGTCGTAATAACTTAGGTGGAAAACACTTCGGTCTTAATAACTTACGTAGAATAGGCTTCAGTCGTAATAACTCAAGTAGAACAGGCTTTACTAAGGAAAAAGCTTGCATTATTTGTTACTTACGTTAAACAAACCATTGGCATATACTTAGTTACGTCAAACAGAGACTAAACACACTTTAGTTGCGTCTAAACAGGGATTAGTTTTAGGTATTATCATGACCATGTCTCACAAATTAACTTCGTGCAATTACAGTTATGGAGCTGCCATTTCTATCACATATACTCAGAGCATGTATGCCTCTGCCTACTGAAATTGGGGTGTCAACTAAATGTCAACTTTTAGGACGTCGTATTCTTTAGGAGAAACATATGAAACTGACAATGTATGAAACAAGCATATGAAACATGTATATTTTACATCAATTAAGGTAAACTACCATTAGAACGAAATCAAATTGACCGCTAATTTTAGTTCGTTATATCCGTAGTCCATTATATGCATTTCGACTAAAATCCTACAGTGGGGTATAGTCCCATGAATTGATCTTCAGCAACCCATGCTTGTCGTAAGAGGCGACTAACGGGATCGGGTGGTCAGGCTCGCTTACTTGGTTGACACATATCATCGGTTCCCTATTGCGTAGATCGATGCTCATGCTGTTTATCACTGGATTGTCTGGTCCAGACTCGATTATTTACATACCGCCGCCATATAGCTGGAATATTGCTGAGTGCGGTATAAAACTAAACTCACTTACTCACTACAGTGGGGTACAATAAACAGTTCGTTATTTCTGTCTTTTCGTTATATACGTGTTCGTTATAAGTGTAGTGTAATGTAGATGTATTTCGACAGCAGCGCCTTTATACTGAATCCATATGGAGTTTCCCTGTATGTACTGTATGTGTTTCTTATTACCTGAGGTTTGATTGCTAGAGTGTGTCCAAGCCTCCCACACCCACATTTCACTGTTCCCAGTTGATGAGGCATAAGTCTTAATACCATGGAATCTCATCAAAGAAGGATAAAACTTATTCGTCAAGTCAGGTGTGAACTACACCAATGTGTTTTCTGTGGCGGTGTTGACTTGTTGCTATAGCCGTACGGATTTACTCTCTCGTTGTGATAATCTACAGTAACGCCCTCGGCTAAACTCCGTTGTCATAATACCGACTATAAGGTTTACCTATAGCTGTTGGTCTCTTGAATCTAAATCGTAATTTTGCATTATTCGCAATGTCATACTAGTATAGGTTCACCTATAGCTGTTGGTCTCTTGAATCTAAATTGTAATTTTGCATTATTCGCAATGTCATACTAGTATAGGTTCACCTATAGCTGTTG